ATTAAAGAACCGTCGAAATGCGTTAAGCTGTTTTCGATGAAAAGCACCGAACGTTTCTCAGTAAATTATATTATACTCGTTTCTCTCCGAGTTTCTTTCTCGTCGCAATCATGAAAGTTTGATGAGACGCGCTTACTGTACGATACATAATTCTAAACTTAGATACAGATGCTCTGTGCCGGCATGTAATACGGAAGTAAAATTCTGTCGAAGGGGTTGAAAGCGACTTGCTTTCCTAGGAAGGCCGGTCGTCGCTTTGCATGTACGAGTATTCTATTACCTCGAGTCTCATGCATTATAAATAACGTCAACGTCTCTGTATCCCTAGATCGGACCCTTTCTTTGTTCGGTCTTGCCTCGAAAAAGTTTACCATGCAACCGCGAGTGGTGAAAGCTAAGTGACATTTATTTCCACCTTGTAAAACATTTTTTTCTTCGCCATTGGTTGGATAAAAAAAAAGAGATAAATTCGGAAAGCCAAAAAATAAATTATCTTTCACAAATGAAAAAAAAAATACTTTCTCAAAAATTGAAATATAAAATTTGGAATGTATAATTTTATTGTAATATACATATATACTTATAATATTTTCCAAACATTCTATTTTCCAAATGCATTCAATAAGTAACATTGCATTAGCGATAATAACAGTATAATATAATTACACGAATCTCCTGTTAAACCATACGTTCCATATCCCTTTGGGATTACTCTTCTCGCTGATATCTATCAATTTCCCTACAGGTTGTCCGATCACGCGTTTTGACATTGCGATACCCGTGTATCGCCGAGACAGCTGCGGCGAGCCGTTTCGCGTGCGACGAACTTTCGACATGAATAACCGATGGCTAATGGATATTCCGGTTTGTCCCGCGGTCGGTCCGTGGGGTCCTCTTAGCGCCCGTTGAATTAATAACAATCGCACGCCGCCCGTTTCCAAAACGGACGAACATCGCCGCGAATGAGCTATATACCGAGTTCCTTATCCCTCGACACAACCGCACTTTCGTCGAGAGCTATGTAAGAGACCTGCAGGTTTTCTCGAGTTTGCGAAGACAACAGCTGCACGCTCGCTGAAATATTAAGGAGTTTCTACGCAAGAGGTAGATCCTACGAACAACCCTTTAGGAGAGATACAATCGATGAGAGAGAGAGAGAGAGAGACAGTGACATTCCACCCCACGGTTCCTCAACCCCGTGCACGCTCGATACGTATATATACATATTGACGACGTTCTGTTGAACTGTAGAAGCGCAAGAGTGGCGAAGAGGACGGTCATCCGCTTCAAATGACGTAATACATAACAGACGGTGCAACATTTTATACACATACATATATTGTATCGGTGAGAATAGCTCCAGGGTATACATGCCTTTATATATTGAAAAAAATTATGTTCGGAGAAACTTCAACTTTTCCTTTAATAATATTTAATAATTGTGCTATAAATAAACTTTTAATAAGATTATTTTCGATGCAATAATTTATAATTCAGATCGTGTGGCCATTTAAAAAGACAGCGAGGGTATCGATTTTTGGTAGCATTTCACAAGAATAAGAGTAGGAGAAAATGAAATGAAACAATTGGCCTTCGCGACGCAGCCTCGAAAACGGTAACCCAGCGATCCTTCAAATCATCTTGAATTTGTCCGATTTGCACATTTGTGAGTTCGCGAGCGCTTCACGCCTTGTCTGGCAAAGTTCATTTGTGAGTAAATGCCGCGAACCAACGAAACTGCGCAACACACTGTCGCCGGTTTAATGATTAAATCGTCGGACGCGTCGCGTCGTCGCGTTATCCGCGCATTCTGTCAATCGCATTGATCATCCGGCGACATATTTGGCGAAATGCGTTAAGCGTGTTTATCGTCCGGCGTTTAACGGCCGCAGCGCGGAAGCCAATTACGCGCGGTGTCTGTTTGCAATCGGGCAATATTCATTGTCACTGGTTCGCAAGCCGCGCATAATCATATGTGACGCGACATTGTTTTTAATTACGCCCCCCGATTATCTCGTTATGCGGGTTGTGATTTGCACTAAACATTGCCCGGTGCAAATATGCGCGCGCCGTAGATATAGCCCGTGTCATTATGCAGACAAAGATGGATAACAATGTACGGTGGGATCGTTTCGTATCGTTCCGCATTTGTATTCCAAAACGACCAATTAACGTCGATTCGATCGATGACTGATGACACATCTAGGCCGCTAATTTTATTTTATAAATAGAAATATATTTGATCAACTTTTATGATATATATTTGCGTATGCTTGGCGAGAGAGATATTTTATTTATATCGATATAAAAAACACAAGTTAATATTAAAAAATAAGAGGAGGTATAACTTGTCAAATATAATGATGAATATATAACGAAACAGATATGTGATAATTTATTCATCTGGTGATATATCTTAGAGGTATGACATAATATCTATGACGAGCTGTCTTGAAAATCAATTCACCTACTTTATTTCTCGTTGTTCGTTTCCATCGCTCTATCTAAGGATGCAAAATTAGCGATTGTGTAATTAATCTTCACAATTAATTGTTGATCGCCAGTGATAAAATTTTAACAAATAGTAAGATGCAATTTAATTCGACCAAAAACTGGCTATTCATTTATTGAAAATAAATACACACTACGTTTCGACCCACATTGTGGTCCTTTTCTATGTTTCTATTTTTAATTAATGTAATTGTGGTCCTTTTCATGTTTCTATTTTTAATCAATGTAATTGCTGAACAAGAACAACACTTGAAAAGGACCACAATGTGGGTCGAAACGTCGTGTGTACTTATTTTCAATAAACTGAATAGCCAGTTTTTGTTCGAATTAAATTGCATCTTATTGATTGTGTAATTAGTCGTCATTGAAAAGACAATTTATAAAATGTCAACGTACTGTTGAATAAACAAGCTGTTCCTTCATTAAAATTCGCTTTATATTTTGCTCCTTTCTTCGTCAATTCCGCCGTTCTCGTCGCATGAATTCTGTCATATCGCGGATACGCTTCTCCTCTCTGCTCCATCCGGAACGATACGGAACGAGCGCGTGGGTTCCTTTTTCCCGAGGGCGACATAAAGCCCGGGACAAATTGCTACGTGTGTTTACGTTAAATCGCTTAAGCGCTCCGCGCTTGCACGAGCTCGAAGGGATCGACTCTCTCGTAAAGGCGAGAGATAACCATCTGCGAGTGAGGGCCATCGGCATAAGTCAAGCTTCGACGTCTCGGTGAACCGATATACATGTGAGTATAATGTATAATGACGGAATACACCGATGTATAAAGATCCGGATTAAGGTCATTCGACGCTCCGTAGCCACCTTAATACCCGGGACATGGAGCAACTTGAACGTTATCGCGATATACATGTATGTATGTGCCGAACTTCGATCGAGCACTAATGTGTACTTGTATGTATACTTTGTTTGCACGTTAATTCCTTCTATAGGATATCATTAATTACGGGTAAGTGCTGCGGGGATCTTCCTGTCTGTGGCTGAACGTCGCGAAATACCTAAAATAAATAGAGCGCGACAGAATTCCACGGAGAGATGCTCGAATGCACTTTAATGTTTATCGAGATACGTCAGTTGTATTTTTGGAAAAAGCTGGACAAATATTTTTAGACTCCGATATTCTCCATTTTTCGCTCTGCGATAATAAATATTTAAAAATAAAAGGCATGGATTTAGAAAATATCCGTTATCGTTAAATGGGTCTGTTACCTAACATCGTCGTATAAAAATATATAACGTTTTTCTACAAGATTTCTCCCGCAGAGCGCGAGCTGACACGATACGGGCTCGTTCTACACTCTCCGATCTATTTACACCAAGTAGCAACAAGGTATCGGTTTCCTGGGTGTGTAACCAAGCGATTCGGAAGCTCGTTTACCGTTACACCCATCTTCATACGAAGTCGTGAGGTTAAAGGGCCGTCGTCGCGTCTCGAACTCGTCCTCGCGGTTGGATCCGATTTCACGTTCGAGCGGATCGGCAGTGATCGACCGTAGGAAATCCCATATGTTCCCGCCAAGGATCCACTTCTATAGGGTCCCCTCTTCCACCAGGTTGATGCTCGAGTGATATCCATTCGATCCTTATACCAAAGCATCTCGGCGGTAGACGAGGTGCGATAACAATGACCTCGAGGCTAACAGCACTGGCTTTACGACGTGCCATGAATGAAGGGGGTGGATGAATATTGAATCGTCAAGGAACGGACGTATCGACATTTCGAGCACAACAATACCCTCCTCGACGTGCCAATATAAGTGTACTTGATTCTATCCGAGAAGATGTCTCAGCCACAAAATCGGATCTTAGTTAAGAAATGAATGACCCTCGATCACGCTTTCATTCCCGACTTCAATCGTTGTCGATTGTGACATCGATGTTCTGATAAAGGGTTCAATTATTTCCTCTCACGATCAGTCTCTTTAACGTTGTCAAAATTAATTATATACATTTTCCTTGTACATACAAACAACTTGACTTATTTTTTTCCTCGCAATTAAATCAAATTTAATTTGTTCTTTAAAACTAAAAAAATATTTATTTACGTGGATCAAATTTTTAAAACTGTGACAGTAAGCATGTTAAGAATTAAACAACTTTCTTCGATAAAGGTGGATATAAGAGTCAGACGGGTGCATATATTGAGAGAGTGATCTGTCGATCATTGTTCAGTGCGGAAGGAAAACATTCGCGGAAGAAAGCGCAGCCTCCGGCATCGCAAGCACCACCACCACCACCACTACCACCACCACCATCACCACCACCACCACTATACCATCACCACTATCACCATGACCGTCGTCGTTGTCGTCGTTGCCGCCGCCGCAGATACCGCCACCATTGGCAGCAGCAGCAGCAACACCCCCGACGACAAGGGGATGAAGAAGAGCGTCGGTATCGAAGTGAGACGTATATATATATATATGTATATATAGAGGTGCGCGCACGTCGGCAAGTTCAGTCGTCCACCGCGTGCCGACCTGCGAGCATCGCGCAGCCACCCTCCCTTAGCGGATTCCTCGTTTCCTCCGGTTTCGCTCGCTATCGCGCTCCGAGGGGTTCGAAGGCCGGTCACGTGTCCCCCCTTTTGCACGCTCGAACGCGAGTGCAACCATGCAAGTGCGAGCACCCTCGTACAGATTCGTCATATAGCCTAGATGAGCCGCGACTAATTGTCGTTTTGGCATTTTTTTTTAAAAAGAGACACGGCTGCCCTTTTTGTAAATTGATAATTTTTCACGCGCGGCAAATATGACGCTCGATCGTTGGATCTGTCGTAGAGATCTCGCGTGCGACGATACACTGTCCTGATACGCGAATCACCGGTGAATGTTTATTAAAATCGTACAAGATATTGAATGAAATCTGACACAATAATCGCCGATTATGAAGTCCAAATCGTTTGAGGAAGGTGATAATAAGCGCGACGCTAGTAAAACTTGTCAGCGTAGAGCATGAAATTTGTTGTATCTATTAATTTATCCTAAGTGGCACCGAATAAAACGCCGATTTGAGTGAAATGTGAGGTAAAACGATGGAGCTGAGGATCAGTATTCTTCTTTTAACGCTTCTTCGCCTCGCCAGCGCGCTCGAAAGTAAGTAAGGCAGTATAGAAGTTTGACAATATTATTTTCGAAATATCAACATTTAATTAGCTTCCCCATTTGCGTAAAATATAGATTGCATCTCGCACACGTGTTGATTATTTAAAAATAAAATAACATTGCTTATTATATATACACATACATCATGTTATTGTTAAGCGCGCCAAACAAATCTAAATATTAATAGCTATTATTGCAACGTCGGCGCTTCCGCGGCCACTGAAAATTCATTTCGCTCGCTTCCGGCCAGTCGTTCGAAATCGCGGCGTTAAATTTACATTCTCGCGTAAGCCCCGCGTTACGGATCGTGACATGTTTTCTCATGAACGTGACAGCCGGGGGTAATCATCGTCCGCCGGTGCCTGGCTTACTGCGACGAGTCAAACAAGAAAGGCGCAATCGTTTCGGGGTGTAATAAAGTTCCCGCGGGAACTTGGAAGCGGGACGGCGAACACGAAGCGTAAAGTAAGCGTGGGGTTGATATACATGCGTGCAAAATCCGCTAAAACGCATCGCTGAGCCTGCTTTACCGTTTCGCATCTTGTATTCAACTCGACAGCTAAATATATATATGTTACGCGTCGCGCGTGGCGAGATACCGCGTCTTCGGATAGCGATAGACTTTCCAGGGAAGGACGAGCGCAGAAATGTACGATCGACACGTTATCGGATCCGATAATGCACCATTAGTAATCCGATAACGCCGTCTCCACACATCGTCGTTTCTCTTTATCGCGGTGACGCGGCTTTAATCCCCCTCGATGGACCAAGAGCGAGGCCTCGCGGCGACGATTTAATTCAATCGATTCGATATGAAAAATTTGGGAACGTATGGATTATGTTGCGTCAAAAAGAGTGGGAAAGGGAAGGGGATTATGCTGACGGCTCTATTGGATTAGCGGAATGAATCGCGTTGGAATTATCGATTTTTTCCGGCTCGCGCGAAAAAAGGGATAAGCGTGTGCTCGCTTATATATAGGTACGAAGGAAGAGGATGACGCGGAGGACGATGACGAGGAGAGTTATCCTGTCGAAGATTATGATTACGGTGACTACGAGACCGCGACTATAACGAGCGATACCGATCTCATCGCCGGCGGTTCCCTGCCGATTTTCCTGGCGGAGCCCGTCGACACGTTTGTCGTGAAAGGGAAACCGGCGACGTTGCATTGTCGAGCCGCGCACGCTCTTCAGGTAATGCACTAATAATTTCTAATTTGTACCTCTTTACGTTTAACGTTTTCCACGAAGATCTGTTGCCTTATTACATATATTTTCTCGTTACCTCACGTATCTTACAACTCGCTCCTTTGTATTACACAAGTCCAGAGTATCATTCTCGCACAATGCTCCTCTTAGGAAACATGCCTTTGTCTTTATTTCCTTCTCGGTTCAGACAAGTTTTGTGCACGATCCTCTCTCTCCGTTCTTATTACCCACTTAGCCGCAATTTAACGAAGACAAGTTGTTTCTTTCACGGCACGCAAAACTGCACGCTCCACCGAACTCTTTTTCCGCAGGTGTATTTTCGCTGCAACGGCGACCGGGCCGAGCGTTCGCAGCAGCAGGATTTCGTCGACCCTCGTACGGGAACGAGGGTCGTCGAGGTCGAGTTGAACGTGACGAGGAACGAGGTCGAGGAGTACTTCGGGAAAGAGAGATTCAAGTGCGAGTGCGTGGCATGGTCGGGACCAGGTCAAATTCGAGGGCAGCCCGCTACGGTTGAGGTCGCCTGTAAGTAGAGAGTCCTCCACACGCTCTGCGTGGCCCTCTATCCTGTGTGTATACTCCCTCCATTCTCTTTGAATGATTCTTTACCGACGCAAAGGATTTTCTCTCTTTCTCTCATTGCGGTAATGACCGGGCGCCGCTCGTTTCCGCGGTACGTGACGTGCTCCAACTCAGGAGATTACGTCACTTTCACTCGGGCTAATACGAGGGGAAGTACGAGAACAGTCCCTTTGAACGGACACAATGGTGACAACTATTTCAAAGATTTCCGTCCTCGTAATTCACGTAGGCGTGCTAATTCGCGGACTAAGAATAGATAATTATTTTATGACGAGCTTATTATACACTTGTAGTATCACCGTAATATATGCAATTATTATTTCCCGACATTCTTTATTTATATATATAATTGCGCTTGCGTGTGACGAGACGTCTCTACCAGAAAGGTCTCATGCGAATCATGTCTCATTAAATACGCGATGAATATAGTCCCGGTTATTTCATTATACGTACTATTATTTACATGTAGTAACTTTGTTAATATGATTCTCGTAATTCGTTTAAAGCCCTTGACGATACTCGAATGTAAAGTTCAACCCCTCCCTGTCTTATTCCTCCACATTTCGCAATGAGCCGGAAGATGGGACAAATTAAAGCGACAGAACGAGCGCGATTCGGTTTTCATCAAGTGTCCTGTGACGCGCAAATCGAGTACAAAATCTAATCGATATTCTATTGCAAACGAAACGACAGACGCGTAAGCCTCGGAATAGCGTTACGTTTTTTTGCCCAGAGAGAGGAAACACAGGGACAATCTCTGTCATTCAACGCGAAACACTCGTCGGTTATCAAAGCTAAAATAAAGTCGCGCATACAGTCGCGATAAACCGTATGAAAAGTGTATTTTGGTATTTTTTCGTGTATGAAATTCCAATAACGATACGATTGCAATGGGATTGGCGGACGCTTCGTAAAAAAGGTGTAGCGCAAGAGCAATTTTCATTTAGACATTTCGAATCGCGCTATCTCGCGCAAATAAGCGCGGCAAACAGGATGCAAAATTAAATCGGTATTTGCGTTCAAACAGAAAGCAGACGCGCTTTCGAAATTGAATCCATGATGTCGATCGAATCGATGTTGTACTACGCGATTTGCCGTAGAAACGATTCTCCGCGCAACAATCTTATTATATTTTCGAACAAACGAAGCGTAGACAATTAATTTGAGCAAGAGCGATCACTCGTATTGAATTACTCGTGCGTGTTTAAATATTTTGTGCTCGCAGAGTGACGCATTTTCACGGATGATAACAAACGACGAAGAAAATAAATTGCGCGGAAGAACGATCGTACTTGCTATTCATTAGAGGGGAGCAAAGTTCGAAATGAAAGTTTATCGCTCATAAATGCGCTGACAAGAGCAGAAGTAACTTTCGTATGCGAGTTCTATATATAAATGGAAGAAAAAAAATTAAATTTGTTGAAAAGAGCTTTGAACAAAGCGACGTATTAAAATCCCATTTGTATCTTACAACGTATCGTCTATGAAAATAAAAATCCACGAAGCCACAGAGACAGGATAAGAGTAAAGGGGCGCAACATAAATGCATTTGAATTGATGCATTTGTAGATGGTCCATAGCGCGGACTTTGTGATGCCGGACGTATCATCCATCAGTCCGGTCTACGTACATGTAACGTGGGCATAGAATCCCGCCAGTTTCTAAAGCGCGTAACTGCCGCGTCGCGGTACACCATACGTCTATAGGTATGCTTACGCTCTTCAACGAGAGCAGATATGAAAAGCCTCGCTTTTTGAACGCGGACGTGGCGCGGCAAATAATGCCGAGCCAGGTTGGACGAATGATCGCCGTTATATGCGTGGTTCTCGCGCCGCAAATCTCTTTCCGCCTTTCTGATGGCGAAATCGTGAAAGCCCTTTCGTACGTTTGTACACGCGACCCCTAATATCGCTGAGTACCACCCTCTCTATTTCTCATCCGACGTCCTCTCGAGCGTGCGGATATTAAAAAAAACTGGCCGATGGGCGATTTATAGATCTGAAGAAGCACTTCCTGTCGCCGCCGTACTCGCTGTCGGTGGAGATCGGCCGTAACGCGGAGTTGCGATGTTCGCCACCTTTGGGCGTACCGACGCCGAAGGTCTCTTGGTTGAGGAACGGCTCGCCTCTCGAGACGACGGCCGCCGGCGCAGCTTCCGCTCCCTCAGACGCGGATCCCAACGAAGCATCCGCATCCGGTTTCGTGCAATCCGCCGACGGACATTTGCTCCTGGGAGAGGCCGAATTGAGGCATCAAGGCAACTATTCGTGCGTCGCCGAGAACCTCGCCGCGAGGAGAGTCAGCGAACCGGCGGTGCTCACGATTTACGGTGAGCTATTTTATTTTCATCTAATATGCAAATTGCTGGCAAAATGCTCGGAAATTAAGACGAAAGACGCTAAAGAATTTATGGTTCTTATATGTCAGCTTGTAGTGTCTTCTTATTTTTATTTTTTATTTTATACACATATCGCCAAAAAATCTCTTTCTTCTTATTTACATTTCACATTGTACCCTCGAGATAAGAATCGCGTAGTCAATATCCGTACCGCAGATTCATAGCTCTTTGTCAAGAACTAAATTCGAAGTCGATGCGCTTGCAGATTTCACGGTGATTAAACTTGGATTTTCTTATTTTTAATTGACGTTGCATTGGATAAGCAATTCATTCGCGTCTTAGCCTGTTCGAGCCGCGGGGCATAACAAGATGTTATTTGTTCCCGTTTTAATTTCGTCGATATTTTCTCTCTCTCTCTCTCTCTCTCTTTCTCTCTCTCTCTCTCTTCCCGATCCATTCTCAGTGAACGGCGGGTGGTCGTCCTGGTCCGGGTGGTCAGAGTGCAGCGTTCGCTGCGGTAGAGGCGTACAAAAGAGGACAAGAACATGTACAAATCCTGTTCCAATCAACGGCGGTCAAACGTGCCCAGGGCCAGCCACACAAAGGGTAGAATGCAATCCTTCCTGCCCTGGTAGGTAAACTATAAAGACTCATTCACGCGACGCACAAAATAATATAGAGTTACGTTCGCGCGACTCGTTACAGAATACGAAATTAACAAACACGCTCGAAATTAAAATGTATATTGCGTCTATATAGACGTTTAAGCGCTGTAAATATGAGTCTCCCGTTCTCTTGAATGATCAAAATACGCGATGTATCTATTCTTTCGCTGACTTGCAAATCGGATAATCACAATTTAATCGAGATTTTCAACTTCACCCCGTTGCGTATAGCGGTTGATGGCAGATGGTCAACTTGGTCCTCGTGGTCCGCATGCGGTCCTGATTGTTCGAGGGTAAGAAGGAGATCCTGCAACGATCCCCCGCCGAGCAATGGCGGTCGTTCCTGTCAAGGCAAGGACGTCATCGTCGAGTCCTGCTCCACGGATCGATGTAATGGTGAGCTCCAGCCGAGTTTCTCTGTTTCTTATTGTTCTTCGTGATACGCGCTCGATGCCTAACGATTTATCTGGGAGGAGCGGTCTTTTTAATCGCCCCGCATTCGATTGCTATTCGTAAAATTCGATGACTTTGCATGCGCGATGATTCATCGACAATGACTGCCTGAATGGATGAAATTGAAATATTTTCCAAGCCGCTTTCGAAGTGATTAATTTTTCGGAATGTGGTAAAATGATGTAAAGTCTCTTGATGTAAAAAATTATTGTAGCATATGAAATAGAGACTAAAATATTTGTTTTTCATCGCACGCAGCGCTCGGACAAGATGGTCCAAGAGTATTTAAAGAAGGTAAAGAAAAGATTGAATAATTTATTACAAGAGTTTTCGTTTCCCAAGGAAAAAGAAATATTTTTTCTTCTAGCGACTAGAGCAGTAGATTACAGAAACATTCTCGCGCTGTGGATCACTTTAAGCTTAGCCGCGATAATTTTGGCCGTAACGACAATTTTCTTCGTTCGTCTAATGCGCCGAAAAGAAAGAATGGAGGCTTTGTACGGCGTTGCGAGATTAGACTTTCGTCGTCCGGATGATCTCGCAAAATCAGTCGTTTCTAAGAACGAACGCTCCGTCTTGGCTAGCGATAGGCGTCTCGAACATGTAATCGACGAATCGAGCGCCGTCAGATTACCCAGGTATATCAATCAATATTTCCGATGAAAAAATAATGAGAACACGGTATACGATATAAATATAAATCAATATCCGATTACATCCACATAATTTTACGATGCGTTGACGTAATGTGCAGATCCTGTTCCGAGCATCATTATGACGTTCCGCAATTGTCATTACCGTCAACAACGAGACCATCCCCGAGCTCCTCCGTAACTAGGTCTTCTTGCAAGAATTCGCAACGAGGACGCGGCATGTCGGATAATGAGGAGGGACGATCTTCTCGTAAGAAATTCCCATAAGTTCGAGAAACACGAGAGCTCTTTATGTAATCAGTTTCAATAAATCGATCTCTCTTCTGGAAAATAATTTTGCAAACAAGATAGGATCTCGGATTTCATATTCAATCAAAAAAAAAAAAAAAAAAAATATGAATACACATCGAACAAAATGTTGAATAAATTATTTTAATAGACTTTTCTTTTCCGCGTGCCCGGATGAATGCTCTTCATCTATGGCAAATTGCATTTATATAACCTCAGGCTCGACATATCAAGCGAATCCAGAAAGCACGAACGAAGACGATGACGAACAGGACGATGATGAAAGACCGGACGAGAACGAGCGATCCGCGCCGGATGACAATAGTGGCTTTATCGTGAAAGCCGTAATCGACGAGCAAGGTGCTCTCCTGGTCGTACCCGAAGTAGGCGTTTCGATGTCTGTGCCGGAAGGTGCGATTCCGCGCGGTCGTCGACACAGTCTGCACCTCGCGGTTCTGGGAGAAAATGCCTTCAGACCGAATCTTCCACCTGGACTCACGTTGCTGTCCGCCGTGGTGGCCTGCGGACCCGCGGGTATCGATCTGGTGAAACCTGTGATCCTACAGTTCGAGCACTGCGCCGAATTGAGAACGGGAAACTGGGAGCTGAGTCTGTGGTCCGCGGAGATCGATCTGGAGACCCGTTCGAACAATTCCACGAGCTCATCGATGAGCTCGGGCGGTTCAACGTCCGTGACAGCCTGGCGCAAGGTGCTGATGCTCGGCGGCGATCCAACGAATATGCCTGGTCAACCATTCGCGCAACTCGATCATGGTGGTGTGTTCCTCGTCACGGAAACACCCAGTGTTTACGCAGTCGCCGGAGAAAACTCGGTGGTCGCGCCTGGATTGGCCGTGAAGAGGCTTTGCATAGCGGTTTTCCTATCTCGCGAACGCGATCACGTCAGATGCCGAGTGCTCGAGGACACGAAAGCGTCATTCAAGCTCGTAAGCGAACAGGTAAGTCCGAAATGTGCATTTCAAACTTGCATGTTGACCATAAACGTGTGTATAGAGAGTTGCAGTTACAGTTTGTATGACGAATTTTTTTATTTATTTTTTTAATTTTGAGTTATGCTTTTTTTTTGTAGGAACGTCGTTTAGGCAGCACTCACATTGATCATGGTACTCTCGGATTTCGTGCAAGCGGCACCTCGCTTCGTATCGATCTCGAAGACAGAGAGAGCGGTTTTGCCGAGCGACTGGAAGTACCTTACCGGCGCATTTGGTCATCCTCGAGGATCAGTATTCGACGTACTTTTAGAATAGAAAAAGTCGCCGGCGACCTTAGGCTCGGCTTCGAGTTTCGCGCTTGTCAACGTGGTTTCGAGGATCAATGCTTGCTTCTTAGGATCGATCTCGATCTTGTAAAAAGGAATAACATGAGCGGGAAGAGAAATGCCAATAAGGAATCCTCGATTGTTTTACGGACAAAAAATTCGGCAAGATCGACAGAATCCGTTGTACCGAGACCATTCAGGTATTTTTTACATTTATTTATAATTTAAAAGAATGGAATTAATTGATATAATAAAATCAATAAAATTTCATTTCGATTTTCTCTAGATTTTCTAAGACGCTTAGAAAGCAATTATGTCAGTGTCTGGATCCGCCAAGCGCACGCGGAAATGATTGGCGAATGTTGGCTCAAAGACTGCAAGTAGATCGGTGAGTTTTGAAGTAGTGTTTCGCAACCTATCTTCATGCTGCGGATTTGCGGAATAAATTTACGCCGACGTAACATTTCAACAGATACGTCGACTATTTTGCGACGAAGGCGAGTCCAACGGAACATATTTTGGACTTATGGGAAGCCAGACATCGCGAAACTACGGCTCTAGCAGATTTATTAAACCATTTAAGACTGATGGGACGCGTTGACGCAGCTAACGTACTCGAGAGTCGTCTGGGGCCATGGATCTAAGAGATTACAAAAAGAACTTACACTGCCACAAATAAACGATACGTAAATTTATATAACACGAGAGACAAAAGTTTTGTAAATAGAATAGTCATTATACAATATTAAAAAAAAAAACAAGTGGACGTAGAACTATGTTGTATAAACATTGACCATATTTGTACATAAAAGTCGTTTATAACAAATACTTACGTAATGCAATGTCATTTTACACCATCATATGATCCTTTTTACATGTAAATTAAAACGACGAAAATTACTTCTTCATAGTTATTAATTATTTATTTCTACTACATAAAAAAATAGAGATAATTATCATTGAAAAAATTTACATATATTTTACAAAGAAAGCTTTTATATATTATATATTCTTGAAACCAATCTGATATATTTAATTAATTATCAAACAAAAATGTTTCCTTTTATATTAATTTTTTAACTGATCTATTATTATTAATAAAGTCAATAATAATTTGCCTTCATCTTCATTACTTCCGACTAATTGCAATCGATAGTTGTGCAAATTCCATCCAATGAAACAGACTTTAATGAACAACATGACGGAGAGCGTTCGAGAAGATCAGAAATTGCAGATGATATTCACAACCGCATATGCCCAATTTGCACCTGAATACCGATCGTCGCGAGGTATCCGGTGATCCTCGAGCGAAATCGAACGGAAGCCCGCTCGAGGATCCAGTTGTGGATAGGCGGGTATTTAGATGCCATTTAGACATATCGTATCGCGACACACAAGCATTCGAGGAAGGCTCCCAGGTATCACGTCTTGGACCAAGGATGCATAGGATGCTCGAAACAATGGGCATTATCCCGTTTCCATATATAGGGGTAAGGGTCGAGAGGTTCAGCAAGGTATAGGTATGCAAGTACGGATGGCAGAGGCAGCAGCCCCTATATAGGTATGCACGTATCCCTCTGCTTTCTCTACCGTCTCCCTTCCGCCACTGGTTTCCTCTTACCATTCGTATTAGTTGCTCTCCCTCTCTCTCTCTTCCTTTCCGGATTCTCTTGGAAGGATGAGAGCCGTGGGGTGATAGCATTTAATCACAGGGGCCCGCTGGTGGTAATTCCACCGGACAATGCCTGTTGACCCGACTCGTCGGGGATGGCCACCCTTTAATCGCTATGCGATTCGCTAACCACGAGCCCGATATCTTTCTCTTTTTTCCGTGAACTTTCGTTTTTCCGTTCGTCTCCCGATGCCTTCGTTTATTTTTCGCTCTCTCCTTCTGTCGAAAATTCGTTTGCGATCGAAAAATGTGGGGGTTGATGGAGGAATCGTTCGGTACGTATATAGTGACATTAAAATTAAAACGTCACGTCCTTTTCTTACGCGAGATGTTGAAATGTTAATCAGCGGAATAGAAATGAAAAGAGAAAAAAATCACAGCGGTATTAATTAAGTTCTGAATAAATCTGTGCGTTTCTTGGATATAATAAGAAATAAATAACAGTATATTCAGTTAACCTTACAGATACCTCGATCGTTTCAGACAGGTGTTAATTAATATTTTAATTACTCTCCGTGCAGCCTCTCATTTCGTAAACGACATCTCGGAAATAGCGTGATATCGCATTTCAGGGCGCAAGATCGACGTCGAAGACTCAAGGTTCCTAAAGGTGCGGTTGCGTTCCGTTCGACAGATCCTTAAGCGTGTGTTGTGCACGACGTTGCGGTTACGCACGAGTCACGGGTTCGTGCGTAATCCACGGGCGGGTCACATAAATCGCGCAGACACAGTATCGTATTAATTTCCCGGCTAATCGCGATCGGGATCTACAGGCAATTACGAGAAGTATCGTCCAATCAGATTGCACGCGCGGCGCTTTACCCGCTTCCGTTAACGCACCGCGAAGTCACGCACACACGCGCAACGCGCTGCGCCGGACAGTCCGGACGTGCAAAACATGCGCCCGCACGCCGCTCGAGGGTGGCTTATGAATCGGACATATCGCGATCGAATGACGTGGAATCGACTTCGTACGTGTGCCCGGTATAGTCAGTAATTTATGCCGTAGGCCGCGGGGCGACCGAATACAATAACATCCGTCAGACTTTTAACTATCAGATTCTACGCATTCGGGTTAGAATTCATTTTTATTCCGTAGATATTGATAATACAGGGTGTCCGGTAATTAACGGACTAACGATCACAAATGGATTCTTTGGTCAATTTGGATCAACGATTTTTCCTCAGCGAAAAAGGTCATCATTTTTTACAACTTTCTAATATTTTGTCATTATGTATCTTTTTATAACTAAGCCTCAAATTAAAATTTTATTATATAATAGTAAACTCTACCTGTTGACTTTTAACTCCAAAACGTTTAGTTTTCAAAAAACCCATTTTTTTCAATCGCTTATAACTCGAAAATTATTGACTTCTCAACATTTTTGCTAAGGAAAAATCGTCTCCAAATTGGCCGGACACCCTGTATATAATAATTAAGATTTTTTACCTCAACCAAACTGACTATATGTTTTGTTAAATCATACACTACGTTTCGACCATCGGTTATGCGATCCTTTTCAAGTGTTGTAAGCTTTGATTTCTTTTATATAATATTCAGATCTTTACGGTTAAAATTTAGTCACATTATAAAATATTTAATAAACCGACTTTGAAAAGCGCCTACTTATGTATATAATAATTAATATACGATTAAAATAAAAAAGGTACTTGAAACGTTCAGAGCGAGGGAGTGTCCGCTTTTAAAGGAATGCAATGAAGATTTTAACATTTGAATGTCTGCAGTTATTAATAAGGGTCAGTCGGAATATTTATTTTTTGTAACACAATCTCATTAAAAAAGTAAAATGTGTACTTAGACTGTCAAAGAGCGGAGCTATCTTATGATAAAATATGGTTGTAAAGAAACATGCGTATATATATTTTCCAGTTAAGAGTGTGATGCGGTTGGTGTACGACGTTACAAGTCGCCGAATGTGCGTGTAACGCAAAACTCGTCGGTATATCGTCTTTCAAATAATTACTTTTCGTCGAAAGGAAATGAAGGAGGATCTCGAGGATAAGGAGGGTATACGATCGTTTCATACGAGGGAAGATTACCGTATGCGCTAACGAAAGGAGGCTCGTGAAGGATGTGGAAGTAGTTGAGATCTTATCGAGAATTGCGCCCCCGGGGAATCCAATCGTAAACGACGAAAACTAAAATTACGAACAGCCACCGACCAAGACTTGTGCGTGTCGAATAAATTAAGCAACCTTTGCATGTCTTTAAATTTTTGTTTCTTTAAACGAAACGAAATATTCTAGGCCAATTTAAATTCCGTCTGGTACCATTAAATGTCATTTTTATTGCGATCCCATACATCGTTCTCTCTCTCTCTCTCTCTCTCTCTCGTTATATTTTTATATTTTTCTCAAAAAGATATTTCTCCCGCTATCTCTATCTCTTCTAATAATATTTGTTTTTTTTATCACATTTTTGATACATATGTGTGTGTTTTATATTCTCTAAAATATATTAATATAAAATGTGTCTGTGTTTACTATTATGCAAATACATGATAAATATGGTCGAATAATTAAACGCATGACGGTGTTGAAAATTTAGATTACCAGTACAACGTGAGTCGCGATAAAATAGCGATGTAATAATAAGAGGGGAATATTGCCATTTATCAAGTTAACTCGTTAGCACAGCAGCTGGTATTAAAAATGTTCGAAAAACCGTTCGCGCATGCAGCCGTATATACGTGTCGACGAGAAAGTTTTGCGACGAGCGAAAATTCCCGAAGCGGAAACCGCCGCCAAAACGGCAGCGAAAGGAAGAAGAGCATTTTTTCACTGTCGTTCGCCTGGATTTTTGTAGCGCCATCGAAACAAAAAGCTAGCCACATAGTTTCCGAAACAATTTCGTCGTGGAATTCCACGACATTCGCGGCTAAAGGGCAGTAAATTTCACGCGTATTTCGTACATGTGATATAGCTTCTACCAAAATTGTTATCGGAAAAAGAATACTATTTTACGAAATTTATACTATAAAATCGAGATAAATTGCCTTTTCATTTTACGCCCACGTATTGATTATTATCTTCTCAATATTACAAATAAGGCAACAAGTTATGTCAAGATCGAAATTATTTTTTCATTCTACTATTGCAATTATGTTATTTTTTCTTTATCATGCATCTTTCCTTTCTTCAAAATTTTTGAATGACGTTACAACTTGAAAAGGATCCTAAATAATTTTGTGACAGTTTTGCATTTAATAATTAATAAAATCCCAGGCATCTTCGTAAATTGCCTTTTCATTTTACGCCCATGTATTGATTATTATCTTCTCAATATTACAAATAAAGCAACAAGTTATGTCAAGATCGAAATTATTTTTTCATTCTACTATTGCAATTATGTTATTTTTTCTTTATCATGCATCTTTCCTTTCTTCAAAATTTTTGAATGACGTTACAACTTGAAAAGGGATCCTAAATAATTTTGTGACAGTTTTGCATTTAATAATTAATAAAATCCCAGGCATCTTCGTAAATTGCCTTTTCATTTTACGCCCATGTATTGATTATTATCTTCTCAATATTACAAATAAAGCAACAAGTTATGTCAAGATCGAAATTATTTTTTTATTCTACTATTGCAATTATGTTATTTTTTCTTTATCATGCATCTTTTCTTTCTTCAAAATTTTTGAATGACGTTACAACTTGAAAAGGGATCCTAAATAATTTTGTGACAGTTTTGCATCTAATAATTAATAAAACCCCAAGCATCTTCGTAAGCTATGAAAGCAAGATAATTAATTTAAAAATTAATCACGGAATACGCAAGTGATGGATTTGCTGTTTCTATTCTAATATATGCATCAGCGTCGTTGTCGAGAAGCAAAGAGAAAACGTTGTAACGTGACAGTGAAATATATTTCAAGCCCGACGAATTTGTTTAGCGCGTAAATCCCGTTCCCTTCGCGGTGGCGAGCGAGTATCAATGTCTTGATTCGCTCGTGTCACCGCGCGCGTCTTCCTTCCAAACCGTAGCAATCTGCGCGAGAGACATTTGCATGGGAACGCCCGGTTTTAATCCGCGCTGCGCGACGCTGAATTATGCCAGCGGCGTAATTTGCATAACCCTTGCAGGCTGGCCCCGATAAATGACGATTCGCGGAAAATTGGCCCCCGTGCACCC